GCGTCGGGTAGAAGTTTGTAGTCAGTTGGCGGTCGAAGAGAACTTCGGCGTTAGATGGTATTCAGGCAGAACTCCAGCATCACTAGGAGTTCGGGTGAAACCCCGGCATAACTTGGAGGTCGGGCAGAATTCAAAAGTCACTTGGAGGTCAGGCGGAATTTTGACGTCAGTTGGAAATTAAGTCGGGCGGAATTCCGGCAGTATTTGAAAGTCGGGCAGAATTCAGGCATCATTTGGGCAAAATCTGGCGTCTCGTGGATGTCGGGCAGAATTCTGGCATCACTTGGGTAGAATTTCGGCAGCGGTGGTCGAGGAGGAGTTTTCATAACTCCTATCCTCCTTCTCTTCTCTCCTCCTTCTCTTCTTCTTCCTGCTTCTGTCCCCTCTCAAGAGAAATGAGAGGCTATTTATAATTTTTTTAGGATGGAATGACCCATAAATAGGAGGAGGATCAAGGACAAATGGGGAGTGGATTGGATGGACAGCCGATATTAAATCCCTTGATTGTCGACGGCTCGTCAGACATTCGAAGGTCTTAATGAAATCATAATTAAGTGATCTTGGGCTCGTTAGATTTGTCTCGTCGAGCCGCTAGATTCGATTATAAGCATGCTATGTTAGAAAACTGTTTGGTAATCCAAATTGTGGTTCAAACCTTCTAATAGTGCTTCAGGTCCTTGATTCGGACCCGTTTGGGCTCACATTCGAAAAAACTTCGGCATTAGTTGGGCAGAATTTTGATGTCACTTGGAAGTCGGGCAGAATTCTGGCATCACTTGGAAGTCGAACAGAACTCCGACGTCACTTGAACGTTGAGCAGAACTCCGGCGATTGTCGAGGAGTTTATTCCCTCCTTCCCTTCTTCTCTTCTCTTCTCTTTCTTATTTTCTTCTTGCTTAGGTCCCCTCTCAAGAGAAATGAGGAGCTATTTATAGTTTTTTTAGGATGGCATGACCCGTAAATAGGAAGAGGATCAAGGGCAAATGTGGAGTAGTTCAGATAGATGGCCGATATTGAATCCCTTGATCGTGGACCGTTTGTCAGACATTTGAAGGTCTTAATGATATCGAAATTTGACAATCTTGGGCTCGTTAGATTCGTCTTGTCGAGCTACTCGATTCAACTGTGAAAGTCATTTTTTCCTTCCAGGATCATCCGGGATGAAGTTGGATCGTCCGGGACGATCAGTACAAAATCTGTGGACAGAGAGGTTCGTCCCAGGACGAAATTTGGTTCGTCCATACAAAATTTATCCAGAGAGCAACTCGTCGAGGAATGAATACCCTTCGTCTGAACGAAATTTGTCCATAGGGCAAATCGTCTCGTACGATCTGCATGTGTATATATTGGATTGAGATATTTTTGAAGAGAGAGAAAAGCCCATGAGAGAGAAAAACGAAGGAAAAAAGAAGAAAAGTGATTTTTGGACGACTTCGATCCATTTTCGTACGTCACCGTAGTTGGAAAAGTTGACCGACTCAAGGTAAGGCACATTCCGCCTTTCTCAATTTTTAGAAATGTGGATTTTGATGACTTTTCTGTTTCAAATTTCATTTCCGTTAGCCAAATCTGGTATTATTTCGTACTGATGAATATTTTATCGTGTAACTTTTTGTATATTTTTTAGACGATGTTTTTGCACGTTTTGAGTATTTTCTAGAAGATTTTCACCGATTATTTTGAATTCTGCGATGTTTTAAGCGAATTATCTAGATGTTGAAAAATATTTCGTCAGTACAATGAAAGCCTTGAAATGATGTTTTACGCTATCTGTGGTAATTTGGCAAATTTTTGAAATTGTAAATTCTGTGGAATTTCCGTATATTGTCGTTATGCTGCTGACAATTTTTCTGATGAAATCTGATTTTTTGAATTTGATGCTTTGATGTGTTTGTATGATATCAGAAGGGAGTTATAAGGAACCAGAATCCTTGGTGATTCCGTTGTCTGGGTCCGGGAATCTAAAAATAAGTTTTATTCTAAAAATTCTGTATATCTGATCTGTTCTTGAGCTGTAAGCACAAAGGGAGGAATAAGGGGCCGGGATCCTTTGTGATTCCGTTGTCAGGGTCAGGGAAGGGAGGCATAAGGGGCCAGAATCCGTTGAGATTCTGTCTGTGTCACGAAAGGGAGGCATAAGGGGCCAGAATCCGTTGAGATTCTGTCAGGGTTCGGGAATCTGATATGTAAAATGTGATTTTATCTGATTTGAAATCTGATTTGTACGATTCTGTTTATTCTGTACAATTATGTCTATTCTGTGAAATCTGACTTAAATATTCTGTTATATGAAATGAATTCCGTTTGTGGTTTGATTTCTGTTTGATCGAGTATCTGTATTCTGTCTGCTTATACGATTTCTACAAGATTATCTGAATTCTGTACGGCTACTCTTCTGATGTGTGTTTCTAGAGATTTTGATTGGCTGGTGTAGTCTTGCTGAGTTGTTAGCTCATTCTTATTATCTGCGTGGTTTTCAGGTTCTGGGAAAGGGAATGAAGTCTTGGACTAGCCGTTCAGTGTCTGATCTGTGATTAGGTATTTTGTACTTTTGCTTTTTGTACAGTCATGACTTTTCTATTCTGTTCTTTCTATATGTAGCCATGCACTGTATTGTGCATGATTATTTTGATGAAAGGAGAAATCATAAATGAACTGTTCTATATATTTGATGTTTATAGTAGCTTTGTGTTTTCTGTAAGTTTGATATTTGGAAGAAAGTTTGAAGCAAATTCCAAAGCTAGATCCTGAATTTCAATTCCGTCGCGGCCCGACGCGAAGGGATTCGTTCCGGTCGGGTTGGGTCGTGACATCAACTATAAGCATGTCATATTTAGAAAGTGTTTAGTAATCCAAATTATGGATTGAACCTTTTGAATGTGCTTCGTGTCTTTGATTTGGACTCATTTTGGCTCGGAATGAGTTGAATTTGTTGTGGTTGGGTTCATATTTCTAAGATGATCAGTTCGACTATAATTTTGCTAGAATTGAAGTTCAGATGATCTCATATTTAATTTTTGAAGTTTCCAGCTTGATTTTACCTCGAGATTCATGCCCGATCAAGATAATTTTTTTATGACATATCAGGAAAATATTTTAAAAAATTTAAGGAGATTTAGATGCATGTATAAAGGGTTTAGGCACCATAATAAGGTCCGGACCCTATAGTGGGCAAGATCAGGGGTGGATCCACTATAAGCTCGCGGGGGGGGACCGCTCTCCTTCCCTCAAAAAATTAAAAAAAAAAATTGTATATGATTATTTAGGTAATTTGTGCCCCTCCATCTATTTTTTAGTCTTTATAATAATGGTTTTTAGGTAATTGCCCCCCTTGCAGATTGAACCACGCAAGGTGGCGCTGACCCCTTAGACCCTCGACATATCTCTGAAGCGTGCAACGGTCAAGGATATAAACAAATAGGGGTGTAACAAATTTTAGTTATACAGATATTTATGAAAAAAAAAATTCTGCACATTTACTTATAAGT